AAGAAAGAAAGAAAGAAAGAAAGAAAGAAAGAAAGAAAGAAAGAAAGAAAGAAAGAAAGAAAGAAAGAAAAACAGCTGAGGTGGTGGCTCACACCTGCAATTCCAGCACCCAGGAGGCTGAGGCAGGAGGATGGTGCATGTAAGACTAGTCTGAGCTACAAAGTGAAACTTCCTACTCAAAATCAAACAAGCCCAAAGTGGCCATCGACACGTGGTTTTAACCCCAGCACTTGAGAAGCAAAGACAGGTGGAATTCTTTGAGTTTGAGGCCAGCCTGGTCTCCATAGCAAGTTCCAGGCCAGCGAGGAACACACAGTGGACCCAGTCTCATGACAACACCAAACAGAATGGAAAAGGATTAGAAATCCTAGTTCAGCTTTGGTGGCAGGAGGGATGCTGGGGACTGGGCCAGGTCCTCACACATGCTAGGCAGTGCTCTATCAGTGAGACATATCCTCAGGATGTAAAAGGAGTATATTAGGTATCTAAATGTCTCCCAGCTCCAAATTCTGTTATTTTGTTAAAACTTTAATCCTGTCAATCACTCACATGTCTCATTCACTAAATGAGAATGTCTAATCACACACACACACACACACACACACACACACACACACACACACACACACAAATACACACAAATAAGTGCCTGGTAGTCTAAAGGGGAGCGATAGTGTCTTTTCACACCCTTGTTTAATGATATTTATTTATCTATTTTATTTTTTGATTTTTTTCAAGACAGAGTTTCTCTGTGTAGCCTTGGCTGTCCTGGAACTCACTTTGTAGACGAGGCTGGCCTCAAATTCACAGAGATCTGCCTGCCTTTGCCTCCCAAGTGCTGGAATTAAAAGCATGGGCTACTCCCTTCTGCCTTCTTTCAGGTTTTTTGAGACAGGATCTTACCCTGTAGCCCAGGCTGGCCTGGAACATTCAAGGTAGACCTTAAACTTGTGACTGTCCTCTGCCTCCCAAGCAAATTCTGGGATCACAGTCATAAACTGTGTCCAACAAGGATGGTGACTGCTTCTTCTTTTCTCTTCCTCCTCCACCACGTCCTCTTTCTTTTCCTCCTCCTTCTCCCCCTCCATTTTTTTATGTGTGCACATATATGGGGTGAGTGTGCACTTGTGTGAGTGTGCACTTGTGTGAGTGCATGTGGAGGCCCGAGTGTGATGAAAGAAGTCATCCTTGATTGCTCCTTCTTCACTGAGGCAGGGTCTCTCAACCAAACCCAGAGCTCGCCAGTAGAGCTAACCTCGCTACCTGGCTGCTCTAGGGATGGATCCCCTGTCTCCACCTTCAGAGGAAGGTGCAATTGAAGCCGGGCCACCACACCCATGGAGCATTTATGTGGGTTCTGGAAATCCTGGCTCTGGTCCTCATGCTTGGCTAACAAGAGTTTAACCACAGAGCCTCCTCCCCAGTCCTGGATGGTTTAAAAAGTAACTGGAACAATTCTTCCTTGACTCTCGGGTGAGTGAGCAGAGCATTTCCCAACTCTGTCACCCTCCCCACCCCAGGCTTGAGATGTTTGTCCTCTGTTTCATGCCCCGTACTGATTCTCTCCCGTCCGCTCCCATGCCTCGGTGGCGCCACTTCTTTAAACTCCACGGGTCTCTAGTTTCTGCCTGGAAAGCCTCTGTGTGTCCATCTAGGAGAGGCTGGGCAGGTCTGCAGGATGACCTCTGGGAAGTCTTCTGGAGTCACGCTACCTGCTATGGTCATGAGAAGCCAGAGAACTGAGCCTCCATGCTTCCTTTATCTGCTGGTCCACGTACAGAGGAATGTGGGTCAACTACACTTGTGTCAGATAGCGTTCCATTGCTGCAATAAAATGCCCAGGATTATAAGCTTGTAAAGAAGAAAAGTTCATTGTCTCTCACTGTTCAGAGGTTCCAGTCCGTGACCAACGGACCCCACTGCACTGAGCCTTTAGCAGCATGATGCCGTAGGATGTCTTAGTGGGAGCAAGTAGCAAAAGAGGCTTGTTCACCTCATGGCCGAGTGTTGCTGGAGGGCTTCTCTCCAGGTTCCACCAAGCCCTGCAGTCCCACAATCCACATATAAAATAATCACTCAGACGCTTATAATACTTATAAACAGTATGGCCGTGGCAGGCTTCTTGCTAACTGTTCTTATATCTTAAATTAACCCATTTCTATAAATCTATACCTTGCCATGTCACTTGTGGCTTACCGGCGTCTTTACATGCTGCTTGTCCTGGTGGTGGCTGCAGTGTCCCTCCCTCCTTCTTCCTGTTTCCCCAATTCTCCTCTCTCCTTGTCCCACCTATACTTCCTGTCTGGTCACTGGCCATCAGTGTTTTATTTATATAGAGCAATATCCACAGCAGCCGAGTATGAAAGAGAGAAAGGGAGAGAGACCAGGCCTCCTCCAATACTCCCATCAAAGGCAAGTCTTCAGTGACCTAAGACCTGCTACTGTACCCCTCCTTGTTAAGTCTCCAGCATCTCCCCTTAGTTACACCCTAGTACTGCTGTGGGATATCTTTCTGTATGCTGTGAATATGCGTGGCTCCCATTGGATAATAAATAAAGCTATTTTGGCCTATGGCAAGAAAGCTTACAGCCAGGCAGGAAATCCAAGCAGAGATACAGAGGAGGGTGGAGTCAAGGGAGACACCAGCCCACCGCCAAAGGATCAAAAGATGCCAGCAGACCAGTAATGCCATGGCCACATGGCAACATATAGATTAATAGGAATGGGTTAACTTAAGATGAAAGAGCTAGCTAGCAAGAGGCTGAAGCCATAGGTTATACAGTTTGTAATCAACATAAGCCTCTGAGTGATTATTTTATAAACAGCTGCGGGGCTATGGAACTGCGGGACTGAGGAACATTCTAGTTACATGGTACCAAGCCTTAGAAGGACATTTTGGAACTATCCCACAGCACAGTGACACAAGTCCTCCTCAGAAATCTCACTTGGTGGGCTGTCGAGATGGCTCAGCAGGAAAAAGCGCTTCTGTACAACCTTGACAACCTGAGTTTGATCCTGGCACTCACATGGAAAGCGGGTTGTGGTGGTGCCTGTCTGTAAACTCTAGCACTCTGACTGTGAGGCAAGAGGAAAGACAAGAGAATATCCTGGGACTTCAGGCCAGCTAGCTTGGAGTATGAACCAGCTAGCCTGGAGTGTGAGCCAGCCAACCTGGAGTGTGAACCAGCCAACCTGGAGTGTGAACCAGCCAACCTGGAGT